AGGCATTGGTTTTAGCAGGAGCAAGGCTGACAATTGCTTATATTTCAGAAGTTCAGGAGATGCTCAAGAATCTTTGCTTGTTTATGTAGATGACCTGATTTATACTTCAAAGACACAAGAACAAGTAAAAAAACTAGCCAAAGAGTTAAATAAACACTTCAAAGTTAAGAATCTTGGTGATGTGAAGGTCTATCTTGGTGTTCAGATAGATAGGACCAAAAATGGCAGTTTTCTACTGAATCAAAAAGGCAAGATATTGCAAATGTTGAAAAAGTTTAACATGACGGAGTGTGCAGGTGTTAGAACACCAATGGAAATGGGTTTTGTAAAAGACAATGAGTTCAAGGATAGTGCTGAATTCAAGCGTGCTGAAATCTTTCAGTCAGCACTGGGAAGCTTACTTCATCTTTCGCAATGGAGTAGACCAGATATTGCTTACGCTGTTAACTTACTCAGCAGAGAAGTTTCGAAACCTAGTGTAAATGCATGGAAAGGAATTCAAAGAGTGTTAAGATATTTACAATACACCAAAGATTTTTGCCTTGAATTATCTTCGGAAGGACAAGCACAGATTACTTGTTGGGCAGATAGTGACTGGGCAAATTTAAAGGATAGAAAATCAGTGTCTGGCTGTGTAATAAAATTTGGTAACTCTCTGATTGGGTGGAGATCCAAGAAACAGAACCTGATTGCTTTGTCGTCAACAGAAGCTGAGTTCTGTGCCTTATCTGAGTTATGTAGAGATCTAGAATTTTACAAATGCTTGGCACAAGAGATGTATGAAAAGGCCATCACTTCAATCACTGTATGGGGTGATAATCAACCGCGTCTTAAGTTAGCACAAAATGGGCAGTTTAAAGGTCGTACAAAACATTTGGATATCTGCTTTCAAAATGTTTGTCAAACGGTAAAAGCAGGAATTGTTAAATTAAATTACTGTCCCAGTCATGAAAATCAAGCTGATGGTTTTACAAAACCGCTTGGGTTTCAGCGGCATGAAAACTTTTGTGAAGAAATGGGTCTGAAGTAATTTTGTTTTTTGTATTGCCAGCGAGAGGGGGTGTTAGGGTGTGAAACCTAAGACGCTGGCAAGTTAGCAATGTCATGTGACTTTAAGTAGTCAAGCTCGTTAAGTTGTTAAGTTGCCCAATATATAAAGAGTGTTTGTTTTCTCTGCCTGTGTGGGGGCGTGAAGCAAAAATGTCCGAAAGCTCCGGAGGTGTTTCTGTTATCTTTCTGCAATAAACCTGTCTTTGGAAAGACAGGCTTCCCTGTGTCGTTATTTCTTTGCTGCTGAGACTTTGAAGCTTGTACTGCAACAAGAATCTCTGCACTGGACTTAATTAATGCTCTGCAAAGAGAGCCATTGCTGATGGCGCAGCGGAAGCGTTTACTGGACCAGTGCACAAACTCTTTACGTTATCTGTCCTCCGCAACAAGATGTGGGGGCAGGGACACTGGGCTTGGAGCATGGAATGATGAGCTGGGCACTCTCTGAAGCCACTCCCATGAGCCGAAATACCTGTTTTCAAAAAATGAATGAGATTTGGGCAAAAAACAGGCATGTTCCAGATGGAAAGAGGTAAAAGAAAAATCTGTCTAATTATACAGTTGCTGGTTGCTAAGTTTAGGACTCTAAAAGGACTCCCATCTCGATGTGTGGATTAATGAGGTGAGTGACTGCTGTCTTTTTGCATTTGTCATATTTGTTACCTCATGATTTGGCAAAGCTCACCCAGAAAGAAATTAATTATTCAAAGGGAACACAAGAGGTGAAATCTCAATTGAATGTAGGATGCAAAGTCCTCAACGGAGAACTGGCAGAGTGAGATCTGATACAAAAGTGGCTTGGGCTGAGGACGGGAGGGGGAAAAAATGGCGGCTGTGTTGCACAGTTACAAAAAGAAAGGAATTCCTTTGGACTACAAAAGGGGGTACTTCATTCTAAGACACATCTGTCTGTATGAATTATTTTTATATATGATTTGAGAACATAATGATGGTGAATTGTGGAGCCCTCTCAGTTCTCTTAGGGCCCAGGAGAGCTGGGGGGGGGCTTCCTTTAGAAGAACCCAAAATAATTCTCATATTACATACAGATCCTGAAGCAAACCCCACAATACAGTACTTAATGGAAACATACAGACACAACAGCTTACTAAGAGAGATCAGGAAGAATTTGTTGATAGGCCGCCACCAACTTCAACTTTGGAACAAAGCCCAGAGCCTTAACGAGAATACAAAGAACGAAGGAGAGATCAAAGAAAGAGGACTGCACTTCAAAAATATTTGGACAGAGATTAATATTGAATAAGAAATGCCTCCTGTGTGTTAATAATATAAGGAACTGTTTAAAAAGATAGTGAGTCACAGAAACAGCGACTGATGGATTGAGAAGATAAGCACGGTTAAAATCAGAGTTATGAAAATGGAAAATAGTGAAGAATGCAGAGACTTTAATGCGGACAGTATCTCTAGACATCTGGAGCATGGGGAGTTCCCTTTTGAAATTTTTAATAATTGGAATATATAATTGGTGGTATTGCTACTATTGTAATATTGAATGATTTGCTTTGATTTGTCATTAATAAATTCAAAAAATAATATTAATATATAATTCTGCAGTTTGAAAATAATGGAAAGAGGGTTTACCTCCATGTCTCCTCAGAGATATACAACCTGTGGATATTAACAAATAAATTTATAATAATAAGATACTGAGTTCAGAGTAGAACAAGTACCTGTCACGGTCTGGTTTACAGGCGGTCGAAGTCCTTGTAGAGGAAAAATAAATAAATGCTCAATCTGAATAAGGCTGCTATCTAGCCAGAAGAAGAGATAGTATTTCTCTCTCTCTCTCTCTCTCTCTCTCTCTCTCTCTCTCTCAGAGAGAGAGAGAGAGAGAGAGAGACCTACATCATGCCCCCTTCCACCTGGTTCTTAGTTTTTTCCATTCAGTCATTCCATATCCAATTCCACTGAATTTTCTTTGAGTAATTTTGGGGTTTTTATGCCCCTCTCAGCGCTACACAAAGCATGCCTCTTATGCAATGGTGGTATAGTTTTGGATACAGAAGCCCAAACATGGGAAGTATCAACTTGATATTACTGGACAAGAGACTTAAATATGTGATATAGAAGACTCTGTATGAGAATGGTATACAGTGGATGCTTGGGTTGTGAATGTGATCTGTGCAGGATGCACTTTCGCAACCTGCAGCAGTGCGTCTGCGCATGCGTGGGTTGCGATTCGGCGCTTCTGTGCATGTGCAAGGCGCGATTTAGTGCTTCTGCCCATGTGCAACCGCTGAAACCTGGAAGTAACCCGTTCTGCTACTTCCGGGTTTTGCCACATCCGTAACCCTACAAAACACAACCTAAAGTATCTGTTACCTGAGGTATGACTGTACGGGGCACATGTTCATGACCGTTAAATGCCAGGACATTGTTATCTGCCACCAGAGCTATACTTGCTTGAACTTCTGCAGAAGATAGTTGGGTGTTTCCTGTGAGAGGAGACACTTAGAAAAGCGTCAAAACCAAAACTGATATTATGGGGAAAGTAATTATATATGCAATAATGATATGCAAAAGCATTCCAAAATATTATTAGGATGATTGAAGATCTGGACCTCAGACCAAATTCAGTGCTCAATCCTTGGCTCTATCTCTCTTCAGCAGTCCAACAGCAAGTTGATTCCTCTCTTTTGAAGCATCATATTTACTTTCATTAATTGCACACACACACACAAGCACACACACACTAAGAGAGAGAGAGAGACAGCCACAAACACAGATACGGACACAGACACAGACACAGAATGTAGGAGCTAGGATTGAAGACAGTAATTTATCCCTGCTACTCATTAGGTGCTTTGTGCTATTCTGATGATGGTGGTACTTACTCAGGCTGATTTTTGGTTAGCCTTTTATGTGAACAGCTTGCTGCCTCTCAATTGCATTAGAGCCTTTGCACATTGTGATGGGTCACTTAGGTTGTTCCAGTGAAAAGCTAAGCAGCTTAAGAGGAGCCCAGTCATCTTCCCCCCTGCTCAGCGGTGACTCTTTGCTCTGCAATGCAGACCGGACTGCATGGTTTCACCTGACTGCTTTATTCTCATGCACCATCCCAATCCTAATTAATAGCATGATGTGTCAAGGTGGGTCTTATCCATGGCGATTTCGGTTCTTCACCATGCAAAGGAGTCTAGTGTAGGTTTGGATGTAGGCTGGATGGCTAGCATTGAGTGGAAAGTGCATTGTGACATGATATGGAACCCCCCCCCCCCGTATCCGCTGTTTACCCCAAAAAAACTTTATTGGAAAGATAGAGAAACATTGATGTCATGAATCACTTCTGCTAATTGTCACATTGCCCTATAAATGTGTAAATGGCAGAACATTGTGTATTTTTATATGCAAATAGTTATAATTTCTATATCACTACATCCATATAATAAGCATGGCTTTTTTTCAGCCACAATTCACCAGAGCTCAATTCCCACACGCCTCAGGTGGTGCCATGGCTGTTATAAGAACAAGGGAGGCCTTCATGGTGAGTTTCTACAGCTCTTTTTCTAGAAAAATAGCACAGAAAATAGGGATTGTGCTGGTGTAATGTTCTATCATGCATTTTTTGTAAAAATCTGGGAGAAACATTTTCTTCTGTTTTCTTCAAACATTCGAGCTCTATATGTGAAGATTTCTTTACTTCATTTCTTTTGGCAATGAATCTGTTTTCTATACCATTTAGCAAGTCATCCCTCTTAACTCAAAGTCTGTTGAAGTGGCATTTCATTTTATTTAATTTTCTAAAACATACAAAGCATTAATCATGCCAAATGGGGAATCCAAGGGGCTTTTAAGGATACGGCTAAAACAAGGACAAAAATTAACAGAGTAAATGAATCCAAAATAAAATCGTGAGTACCGAGGAAAACAAGTACAAAGAAATACACTAAGAGATAGAAAATGAAGCTTTCTGAGCTATTTTGAACTCTTCACATCTGGGTTTGAACTGGTACTTCTTGTTCCTCTCTGCAGTTTTCCTCCTCTTTGAAAAGTCTCTGGAGTATGACCTTCATGCTCTCCCTGGATCGAGCCCTCTTGTTTCTCCCAATCAGGAAATAAATCAGTGGGTTAATACTGCTATTCAGGCAGCTGCATAATAACCCAACAGATATTGCAAAAGATTCGACATTATAGGATATAAATGGAGTGAAAAAACAGATTAATACAATGCAAGTTAATGGGAAAGCTAAGAAGAGGAAGAAGAGGAGGGCAAGAAGGATGGCTGTTAAAGCTTTTCCCTTCTTCCTTTGTTGTGATCTAAAGTAAAGTTTTATAAACAGGACCAGAGTGGAAACAGTCATGAGTGGGAGGCAAAGTATAGCATTCATTAGAAGGTGGTAGAAAATGGTATGCGGTAGAATGTTAAAAATAAAAAGAATCATGCTGATTACAGTGAGCAGGAAAGAAATGATCCATATTGTGGCACACACAAGGGTGGAAAAGTGTGGTGGTCGGTGGCACCGATGCCAAAGTGGGAAGACAACAGAAAAACACCTGTCCATGCTAATGGCTGTCAACAGATATTGACCAGTGTTGTACATAAACCACAAAAAATTCTCGAATACTGCAAATAAGTTATTATAAAAAGTGAAGAATTGAAATAAAGTCAAAATTCTCATAATGGAAAAAGTAAATAAGCATATGAGAGCCCCAAGGTCAGCAGCAGCCAGATGCAGGATGAAGGTGGTGAAAGGATTCCTCTTCATGCAAAAGCCAAGAAACCAGATGACAGTTCCATTCCCAATGATTCCAAAAATGCTAATAAGTAAAATGGAGATGGAGATAAGAATGTCTGCTATATCATATGGTGATAATTCGTGCTTGAAACCATCCTGGGGGGTTAGGAAGTCAGTTTCATTTTCTGCTCCAATATCTTCCAATGAAGCATTCAACGTGGACCAGGATCCCAGGCCATCATTGCTCATCTTGCTTTATCTGGACTTTTGGGCTTTTTCTTGTATAGTTCTAACAAGAGAAAATAAACAAATGTGGAGTCAGTTTTAGCTGGAAAGCTCAACCATATGAAACTGAGACACTCAAACAATAACAAAAGAGACATGCTATAGTGGGAATTCATGACTGATGAACACTTTAGGAAGATAGTCATTGGAATGTTTGCCACAACTTATCAGTTTCAAAGGCTCAGGGGGGAAATGGAGTTTGCCGATGTGTTGTGGATCTTTTGCTCAGAGTAAAAAAATTACATTCACAACATCAGTAAGCATATTGTTTTAGAACTCAAATTCTCCTCTTCTGCTCTCTGACTTAGCCTTAAGATCAGAAACTAACCTCTTGTGTCACGGACATTGGTTGGTTGGGTGTTGGAGAAGAGGGGTGTGAGAAGGAGTTGAACAGCTCTTGTGATTCGGGAAACAAAAGCTAGAATGAATTGGGAAGGCATGTGTAATTTTATTGTTATTAAAATGTGATTTTGAACAAAAGTGGAGAAATAAAAAACAAGTTGAATTGGGATTATTAAGAAATAGGAAAATTAGAAGGAAAAAACCCACAATAGATTAGCCAGACAGCAAGATTTTTACAATGTGGAATGTATTAGACAAACCATTACTCTATCCTGCCTAGTACTTGCTGCTCTGACTGGATGTGGGAACCAAAAATTCCTGCCGTCTTTACCAGCCATGTACCTAGTATCCTTCTAACAGAACACTCCATGGAGTTAGCTTACCCCACCTATCAGCCAAAGGTGCACAGCATTGCCATTCAGCTTCAGATCCCCTCTTACCTTTGCTAATGAATGACATCAAAAAGTAGTTATTCACACTGCTCTCAAAAACTTTGGATCAGCATCCCTCCAGCATGGTGAGTGGGAGCAGCAAGTGGTGCTGGAATAAGCAGGTAATAGGAAGATATTTCAGAAATGTTAGATGCCTCATCTGGTTCTTAGCAAGATGTGTAGAATTCTGCCCATGTGTCTTCAGTTTTGTTTAATCCATTTGCCAGCATCGTGTAATAAGATGATTGTATTCCACATTGGGTCTCAGGATAGCATTTTGGCAAACTCAGGAGGAGACTCTTGCTTTCTAAAGTTCAGTGCCCCAAGCAAGCACTCTTGAGAGAGAGAGTTTGCAAGTGGTAAGCAAGTCCAACTTCTCTTTGTCCCTATCTGGAGAAACATCTTTATTCATTAGAGTGTCACCTGACCCATTAACAGAAAGACTACAGTAACCAGTGTATTCAGAGAGAAATCAGCTTGCGGTTGGTTCTGCAGGGGAAGAACGTAGGCTGGGGTGGAGAAATGTATCTGAAGAACAAAAAAGAGAGTCCTGCTAGATCAGTTCAGTGGCCCTTGTAGTCAATTGTCCTGGTCTCACAATGACCAAACAGATGCTTCAAGGAAGATCACAACAGCTTCTGAACACAACAGAACTCTCCTCCCCGGTGATGTTCTGCTGGCAGGCCTTAGTCACCTTAATTTTCCAACCCCCTTGGGGAAACTTTTGACATGTGTGGGAGGCCAATCTACTTTTTTGGGTGGGGGTGTGGGACACTTCTGTCCGATCCCATATGCACCAGTTCTTTACAGCCTCTATTTATTGATATCAAGTACTCTTCATTTCATCTTGGCGACAAAGAAAAAAATAATTCTCAGTCTGAATAAGGCAGTAATCTAGCCAGATCAAGGGATTGTGTGTGTGTGTGTTTTGTGTGTTTGTGTGTGTGTGTGTGTGTGTGTGTGAGAGAGAGGAGAGAGAGAGAGAGAGACCTACCCAAAATAATTCTCATATTACATACAGATCCTGAAGCATACCCCAGAATACAGTATTTAATGGAAACATACAGACACAACAGCTTACTAAGAGAGATCAGGAAGAATTTGTTGATAGGCCGCCCACCAACTTCAACTTTGGAACAAAGCCCAGAGCCTTAACGAGAATACAAAGAACGAAGGAGAGATCAAAGAAAGAGGACTGCACTTCAAAAATATTTGGACAGAGGTTAATATGGAATAAGAAATGCCTCCTGTGTGTTAATAATATAAGGAACTGTTTAATAAGATAGTGAGTCACAGAAACAGCGACTGATGGATTGAGAAGATAAGCACGGTTACAATCAGAGTTATGAAAATAGAAAATAGTGAAGAATGCAGAGACTTTAATGCGGACAGTATCTCTAGACATCTGGAGCATGGGGAGTTCCCTTTTGAAATTTTTAATAATTGGAATATATAATTGGTGGTATTGCTACTATTGTAATATTGAATGATTTGCTTTGATTTGTCATTAATAAATTCAAAAAATAATATTAATATATAATTCTGCAGTTGAAAATAATGGAAAGAGGGTTTACCTCCATGACTCCTCAGAGATATACAACCTGTGGATATTAACAAATAAATTTATAATAATAAGATACTGAGTTCAGAGTAGAACAAGTACCTGTCACGGTCTGGTTTACAGGCGGTCGAAGTCCTTGTAGAGGAAAAATAAATAAATGCTCAATCTGAATAAGGCTGCTATCTAGCCAGAAGAAGAGATAGTATTTCTCTCTCTCTCTCTCTCTCTCTCTCTCTCTCTCTCTGTGTGTGTGTGTGTGTGTGTGAGAGAGAGAGAGAAGATAGAGAGAGAGAGAGTGAGAGAGAGAGAGAGACCTACATCATGCCCCCTTCCACCTGGTTCTTAGTTTTTCCATTCAGTCATTCCATATCCAATTCCACTGAATTTTCTTTGAGTAATTTTGGGGTTTTTATGCCCCTCTCAGCGCTACACAAAGCATGCCTCTTATGCAATGGTGGTATAGTTTTGGATACAGAAGCCCCAAACATGGGAAGTATCAACTTGATATTACTGGACAAGAGACTTAAATATGTGATATAGAAGACTCTGTATGAGAATGGTATACAGTGGATGCTTGGGTTGTGAATGTGATCTGTGCAGGATGCACTTTCGCAACCTGCAGCAGTGCGTCTGCGCATGCGTGGGTTGCGATTCGGCGCTTCTGTGCATGTGCAAGGCGCGATTTAGTGCTTCTGCCCATGTGCAACCGCTGAAACCTGGAAGTAACCCGTTCTGCTACTTCCGGGTTTGCCACGTCCGTAACCCTACAAAACACAACCTAAAGCATCTGTTACCTGAGGTATGACTGTACGGGGCACATGTTTCATGACCGTTAAATACCAGGACATTGTTATCTGCCACCAGAGCTATACTTGCTTGACTTCTGCAGAAGATAGTTGGGTGTTTCCTGTGAGAGGAGACACTAGAAAAGCGTCAAAACCAAAACTGATATTATGGGGAAAGTAACTACATATGCAATAATGATATGCAAAAGCATTCCAAAATATTATTGGGATGATTGAAGATCTGGACCTCAGACCAAAATTCAGTTCCAAATTCTTGGGCTCTATCCTTCTTCAGCAGTCCAACAGCAATTTGATTCCTCTCTTTTGAAGCATCAGATTTAATTTCATTAATCGCACACACACACTAAGAGAGAGAGAGAGAGAGAGAGAGAGAGAGAGAGAGAGACAGACAGACAGACAGACAAACAGACAGACAGAGACAGAGACTGCAGGAGCTACGATTGAAGACAGTAATTTCTCCCTGTTACCCATCAGGTGCTTTGTGCCATTCTTATGAGGAGTGTTACTTGCTCAGGTTGATTTTTGGTTAGCTTTTTATGTGAGCAGCTTGCTTCCTCTCAATTGCAGTAGAGCCTTTGCAAATTGTGGTGGGTCACTTAGGTTGTGCCAGTGAAAACTAATCAGCTTATGAGGAGCCCAGTCATCTTCTCCCCTGCTCAGAGGTGAGTCTTTGCTCTGCAATGCAGAGTGGACTGCATTTCACCTGACTGCTTTATTGTCATGCCTCATCCCAATCCTTCTAAATAGGATGATGTGTCAAGGTGAGTCTTTATCCATGGTGATTTTGCTTCTTCACCATGCAAAGGAGTCTAGTGTAGGTTTGGATGTAGGCTTGATGGCTAGCATTGAGCGGAAAGTGCATTGTGACATGATATGGAACCATCTCCCCTGTATGTTCTGGTGTTTTTTTTCCAAAAACTTTATTGGAAAGTTTGAGAAACATTGATGTCATGAATCACTTCTGCTAACTGTCACATTGCCCCATAATAGTGTAGATGGCAGAACTTTGTGTATTTCAATATGCACATAGATTGGATCCTCATAACAGAGTCCTGGTTGTGCTCGGGTCCCAAGAGCTCACCTGACAGGGTTAAAATGGGGGTGGGGGTGGGAAGTCCTGGCCATTCCCCTGGGATCATGCCAGCTGGCTTTAGCCAATAGCCAGTAGGTGGTGTGATCCCAGGTGCTTTAAAAACAGCAGTGTGATGCAAGTGAGGCACTTGCATTTGCACCACTGGACACCCGCCCACCCTCCCAAGTTTAGGTAGAGTCGTTTGGCCTTGCTTTGGTTTGGGTCGCCTGTATTGGAACAGGGGCTGGATAGGATTATTTTTTTCCATTTGGCAGATTGGCTTTAGCCTTTTGATTTTTGCCTACCCTTAGCAAATCGTCACAACTTGTAAGGTGATGGTTAGGCATTGGCTCAGTTGGATTGTGGGGAGGGGAGGTATGGCCATCACCTGCCCCTCCAGGAGCTGGGTATTCTGTTAAAGGAATCTGGGGGTCCTGGATCTCGTCCGAAGTCCACTTGAGGGGCTAGGGCCATGCCAGGACCACAGGAACCCTGGGGTGAGCTTCGGTTGGTTCTCATCAAGCTTGCTCCCTCATTTGGTTCACCCCATTTGACGATCACCCTGAGAGGTGGAGTCAGTTATAGTGGGGAGTTAATGCCTAAGCCAATACCGCTCATGTGATTGTATTTCAATAAAGTTGTGGCCAACGTTTGCCCCAAAGTTAAACTAATATAAGTGTCCATGTGTATTTATTTTAGGGGTAGGTCTTGGGGCCTCGATACGCAATTATAATTTCTGTATCACTACATCC